TTAACTTTAAACTTAGCTAGTCACAAACCCTGGTCCAAACATACTACAATATTCCTAACACTAAAACAATACATTCTTACTTACCTTTCTTACTACATCCACCATAATACTTCATTGTCTCTATGAAAGTCCTAACTAGTCCCCATATGTACAATTCATTGTCTGTTGAGGGGGGGGAATAAAATAATTTAAAAACTAGCCCCAATGAGTATTTACAATATGAGTACAGATCTATTAACAAAAAATAAATAAAATAATGCCAGTAATAAAACCGCCACAATCCTTAAATGTGGCAGAAAAGTTAACTAGTTAAAGCATTCATTCATTCTATGCACTCACTCAAACACAAACACAATCAAACACAACAATAAATACCGTAGCGAAGAGATCATCCGAACAATTACCATGAAAGTATTTTAAAAAGGCACAGAGAAGCAACGTTACGGTGGAGGGAAAGTGACTGATGTCGAGCTACCAGATCAGGACCATTAATATTGCTCATTCTTCTTTGGATTTTATCAAAGATCTCAAGGTAAATAGCAGTGGCACTAGACCATATGTGGCAGCAATATTCCAAGGATGGATGAATGGTAGACTTATAGATATGTAACATAAATTCTGGAGAGGAAAATTGTTTCGTGTGACACAATGAAACTCTTTTCAAAGTGTTATAACGTAATTTGCTTTTTTCTTGTTTTTTCATTGTTTCTGACAAAACAACACCGCTCTTCCACGTTCTCCTTCTCTCTCCTCTAAACGCCTGCGTTTGCTTTTCTCTTTATCTTCTATATTTTTCTATTTCTTCTCGAGATAACTATGTGTCTATTATCTTTTATCTCTAGTTATATTTCTGCTTTATTTTTATCATTAATTTTCTCCCGTGTCTTTTTGCACTTGCTTTTCGCTTTTTCTCGGCTTCATTGTCTCGCTTTCTTCATTTTTCTTTCCTCTATTACGATTCATTTCCTCGTTATTTTAAATGATATAGGAATCTATCTATCTATCTATCTATCTATCTATCTGTCAGTCTGTCTCATTCTGTTCTTTTCTATCCATATATTTCAGAATACGTGTCTATCTATCTATCTATCCATCCATCTATATCTCTCTCTCTCTATCCATCTATCTCTCTATATCTCTCTCCTCTCTCTCTCTCTCTCTCTCTCTCTCTCTATATATATATATATATATATATATATATATATATATATAAGTCTTCTCAATTATCTGTCTCGGTATATTATTCGTCTATCTATTTATATATCTATCTGTCTGGCAGCCTACCTGCCTGCCTGCCTGCTTACATGTTTCATTTTTTTTTATATCTATCTATCATTCAATTTATTTATCTGTCTGTCTGTCTGACTGTCTGTCTATCTTAGTCTACTCATATATACATATATGTGTGTGTATGTGTGTATATTTCAGTCATTTCATGTCATATTTATCTATCTTAGTATATTCATATATATATATATATATATATATATATATATATATATATATATATATATATATATATTTCACTATGTTCCTATCTATCTGTTCATATCACATCTATCTATAGATCCCTAAGTATCTTCAGATCTATCTCAGTCTACTCACCTATCTATCTATCTATATATATATATATATATATATATATATATATATATTTCAATCGTCTCAAATCGTATCTATCTATCTATCTTTGTATATTCCTATCTATCTATTTATACCAGACTTTTCACTTATTTTTGTATATTGAGATATTTTCTCATCTTGCTCCGTCTGATACAAGACCGCACGAATATATTTATATTACATGCAGGACTCCACTTCCAAAATGATAAAAGTAATCAATATTTTTCGATTCCGACAAATGTCGTGAGTAAAGGAAAATCTTAATGAAGGCTAATCTACAAAGATTATTGTTTTAACAAAAGCCTTTCCTTGTTTTTACAAGCTGTCCAGTCAATTTAATTAGTGCCCAGAAGTCTTTGTACTACTTTTTCATGTCACTGCCGTTCGCTAACGGAGAAGGCGCCCTATCGATACTCGCCACCTCTCCCATAACTTTTGGCACGTCACTGTGAATAGAAATAAATCCTGGAAATTATTCTAACGTCGATTGGTTAAGACTAATTTTTTTATGGTAAAAATCAACTTTCATAATATAGTCTAACATAATATCATTGTTTACACGTATCGATTTATTTTAATTTCTCTATATACATAATGTATTTATATTTATCTGTCTCAGTCTGTTGCTACTTAAGTAGTTTAAATATCTGTGCAAGACGGAAAATGTGATACCGAAATTCAAAGTAACATTTGCCTCCCAAAATATGTATTTGAAACACTAAAAAAAATATTAAGAAACAGTCAAACTTCGTCAGAAATAAAAAAAAAATAGATTACTGAACTCAATATCAATCATTCTATTTCTTTACAAGAGCAATAAACATGTGGTTATACAGAATGATGCTAAAAATTATATGAACGAAGGAATTTTCAAGGAAATTGAAATAAAAAAATAAAGAAAACTTGGAATCAGAAAGTCAGGCTTTAAATTCTTGGATTACATCATTTTTTAAAAATATATATATATATATATATATATATATATATATATATATATATATATATATATATATATATATATATTCTATTTTCCTTTTTATTTCTATTTATTTTCCTTTTTATTTTTTATTTAAATTATTTTATTTTTATTTAAATTATTTGCTCTGGATTTACATTGAGCTCTCTGGATTTTATACTCCTTAGGTTTACCCATACGGATTACCTAGTTTTTTCATAAACTATATATATATATATATATATATATATATAAACTAACTATATATATATATATATATATAAACTAACTAACTAACTAACTATATATATATATATATATATATATATATATATATATATATATATATATATATTGGTTTGTTTTCTTCTCTTCTTCCGATAAAAACACACTGTCGTGGCCGCATGTCGGAAGATCAAACCAACCGAGCATATCCAATCGATAAAATTGAATGGCGCAAGTGAAGTGTTGATTAGTTACTGTTTACTGGGGGAACTTATATAAAGCAACCTTCTAAAGCTAGTAGCAAATTTTATTCTGGGTGCGGGCCGAATACTGATCATATTCGGTCGGGTTGCCCATCGAACAAGTTGTTTATTTAGACCCGAAACTTCTAGTGGCATGGGAGCAACAACACTGACGACACACCTAGATTCGGCACTTAAAGGTGTATTTTTAATAATGGAAGGAAGATTTGGAACATCTGACTACTCACAGAAAATATCGAAATCAAAATGGACGAGGGGAAACTGCGAGTCAGCTACCTAAGAAACCTCTGCAAATGAATGACAGAACAGAGAATAGGAGGGATAGCAAATTGAAAAAATACTACAGGAATAGGAAGTTGTGGAGTGCCATAATCACACAGAGAATGCTTGCAGTAAAATCTGAAGGCGCATTGGGCTAACGAAAGATGTCTTCCAAAACCAAAGCAAAGTAATAATAAACAGGAAAATTTCGCAAGAAACAAAGAAAACAGTACTGAACTATTAAGTAATGCCATTCCTTCTATATGGCAGTGAATGCTGGACAATTTCCTTAAAGATGAAGAAGAGACTTGAGGCAACAGAAATATGGTTCTACAGGAGGATGCTGAGAATACCATGCACCGATCATGTGAGCAACAATAAAGCTTTAGAGAAAATGGAACCAAAAAGAACATTTATACTTAACATCAGAAAGTGAGTTGGAATTTCTAGGATTCCTAATAAGGAAAGACGGTTTGGAAAATTTGATACTTACAGAACAGCTTGAAGGCAAGAGGGACAGAAGAAAACAACGCATAACCTACCTAGCGAGCTTGAGTAAATGGATGGAAGAACAGGATTTAGGAGAGATAGCTAAAAGACAAAATTTATTAAGAGCTGCAAAGAACAGGAAATTGTGGAGAGCCTTGGTCGCCAACGTTCTGAAGGACATAGAAGAAGAATAGTATTCCCGAGTGTAAGCCTGTTGATATCTATAAAGTTATCTGGCACTCCCTTTGCCAATGGAGTCTGTAACGCACGAATTAATACCCTATTTATGTGGCCTTGTTCCAAACCAACCTAAACTTCGTACATTGTTATTAATATCAGTTTTTTCTTATCGACCTCAATTCTTTTTACGCTTATCTTACTCGTATCACATTTTATCACCTTTTTTTTTTTGTCTTTCTTTCACTCTCTTTTGGTTGCATTCTTCACTTGACATGGCATTCTGCTGCTGCTGCGGCTGCTGCGGCTGCTTCTACACTTTTTACTTACCTCAGACAGATACAGTTGCTTGGTAAATTAAAGCCTTTTCAAATCACTTGTCAAATGTGTAGCAACATCGCCTTAACTAACACTTGATATTTAGAATTCCAATTCTAACATTTTATTTTATATTTCAGAACACCTTTTTCTTTCTTTTTTTTCCTTTTGCTTCTCTTTCATACTCTCTCTCTCTCTCTCTCTCCCTCCTCTTCCTCCTCTTTCTTCTTCTTATCCTTATTCTTATACTTCTCTTAACCCTTTGAGCCATGGCCACCGTTTTACCGGTGGTAGAGAAAAATGACGTCATACCCAGACACCGGTTGAACGGTGGGTAAACACTTGTAACTATCTTTATATCTACTATGAAAAACCAATTATTTGCGAATTTGGACTCAGGAGCTCAGGCAGAAAGGGTAAAATTGTTCAGGAACACAAGACTCAAAGGGTTACGGCAAGTTTTCACGATTTTTTGTGTGTGTGTGTCGGGGGTGCATATTTTCAAAATAAATTCTAGTATTCATAGTAAATATTTGAAATCAAAAACGGTTTGGGACTAAGGAAGAAATATTTTACATGAAACATGATTATTTTGGGATTGATTCTCTAATACAAATTCTTCCTCACTTATCTCACACAGACACACACACACATATATATATATATATATATATATATATATATATATAGACATTTTTTTAATCATTTCACACCAAGCAAGGCGGGTGTGCCACTAGAGAGCGAAAAGCCTGGGTATAGGGGTATTGAAGAAAATATAAAAGATAAACGGGGTTGACGACAACAGAAGATTGCGATTGACGTTGCATTTAAATTCTTGAAGATTGTAATTATCAGAGAAGCAAGTAAGCGGAAGGGAGTTCCGCTGTCGTGAAGTGCGAGAAAAGGAACTTTTAGAGTAGAAGAGGTGGTTTCATTTAGCTACTTCAACAGTAAAAAGGTGGGACCTAGATACCAATCTAATAGCTTAAATGCATGTAGCCTGGGCACCGGGAAAAATAGCTTGTAATCGCAGTTGCGATTAAAATATTTGTAGAAAAGACTGAGGGAAGCCACATCACGTATGTGCGAAAGTGACTGAAGTCGAGATGCCAGGTCAGAATGGATTACATTGCAGATCTTTCTTTGAACAACAGGGGCACTATATCAGATTTCAACAGTATTCAATGCACGGATAAATAGTTGATTTGCAAATGTACAAGATGGACTCCAACGAGAAAAACTTTCTAGCAAAGAACAATGAACCAACTTTCCATGCAGTAGCTGCAGCTATTAATTCAATGTAGTTGTTCCACTTCAGGTCAGTAGAAAACTTGAGGCCAAGAAGGCGCATTGAGCTCTCCTGGAGTCGCGCACCAGCCGTGCAGATGGCTGGCAGGGAAGTTTCTCTATAATGGTTAAATGAGAACGGTTTAGTTTTGGAGGCATTAAAATTTACAAGCCATTTCCTGCCCCAGCTAACCACAGATTGTGGTTCCTTTTCAAAAACCAGGTAACCTTTGTCAGTTTTGACAGATTTGCTCTTGGGACAGAAGTAAATGATTGTGTCATCTGCATAAATGCCTACTTGAGAACTCATGACATCAGGAAGATCATTGATGAAGATCAGAAACAGCGTAGAACCCAGTATAGAACCTTGAGAGACACCCGATTTCATGTGAAGGATCTGTAACGACCTTCATTTCACGACTTGATAGGAATTATTGGACTAAATAAAAACATCGTCTAGTAATACCGTAGCCCTGAAGCTTACGTAGAAGACCAGCATGCCAAATCCTGTCAAACGCTTTTGAGATAACTAGAGATACAGGTCGAGATTCGCCGTTATTATCAAGAGCTTGATATACATATCCAGTGATGACCGTTAGCACATCAGGGGTAGGCCGGAAAAAAAAAACGAAGTGCCAACCATCAGTTATCATTCATCTATCTATCGAGTGATCGATCGATCGATCTCAGTCTACTCCTATCTATCAATCTATCTATCTATCTATCTATCTCAATCCTTTCTTATCTATTTATTTATTTATTTATTTATTTAAATTGTGTTGAAGTTTAAAATTTGGCAAAACTTCTAGTTATAAATGTGACAATGTTATGAATCCATCCATTCACCCCGTCAGCTATGGGTTAAATCTTGTGTCTTGAAAAATCATTATCTCCAAAAAAATGTTAATGCAGTATTCACACGCAAAAAAAAAAAAGATTATTCTTGCAATCCAATACGTTTCTTCTTTAGATAACACAAGAGTGATTGATAAACGTAAAAAAACAATTATTGAAAGTGTATCGACTATGGCTCCTAGCTTAGTATTAACCATTGCTGTTTTAGCGAAACAGCGTCAGTATTTGACTCATACTTGCGGTTTTGCATCTAAGTACTCATTCATATTTGAAATTCACAAAAATCCTGCACCATTTTATGTGCCAATGTTTGCGTCGTGTTTTTTTTTCTATAGCAAAATCCTTGTTGTTGTTAAAATCAAAAGAAAAATAAATAGAATAAAAAAAGGATTTTTTAAAATTCAAATAGACCGCGTTACAGTTAAAAAGTTCAAACAGAAGACATTTTTTGTATATATATATATATATATATATATATATATATATATATATATATATATGTGTGTGTGTGTGCCTATTATATATGCCCATATATATATATATATATATACCTATTATATATATATATATATATATATATATATGCCTATATATATATAATATATATGCCTATTATATATATATGCCTAATATATATATGTCTATAATATATATATATATATATATATATATATATATATATATATATATATATATATATATATATATATATATATATATATTATATATATATATTCCTATTATATATATATATATATATATATATATATATATATATATATATATATATTATATATATATATATATATATATATATATATATATATATATATATATATATATATATATATATATATATATATATTATATATATATATATGCCTATATATATATATATATATATATATATATATATATATATATATATATATATATATATATATATTGCATTTATTTATTTTTTGTCTTTTGCCATTTTTTAACCTGATTCTGTCAAGGAAAAAAGATTTGAATAAGCGTAAACAAAACTGTCATTACAAACAGAAAGGCGTAGGGGAGGAGGGGGCGGTTTTCAATTTAAAGTCGTCATTTATTCGCTGGGCAACATCCTAATCGAGTGCGTACGCACCGGCTACCAGAATGTTCACTCAGTGCCATTGTTGAGGACATAAGCCGTGTCTCTTTGACATTAAAAGGACGTTTGTACCATTTTATTGTTTAAAACAACGCTGGGGGAATGTTTAACTCCCATGTAAAAGACGACTCGCTGATAAAGGAAAAAAAAAGTAATTCCTATGAGCAAAAATCATGTCGCCATTATCGTCTCTATGGTTTGGAGAGACGAATAGAAAAGATGTCTTTCAATACCGCAGGAAATATTATCTGTTAAGAAAATAGATTTCTAGATTCTAGAGAATCTTGTAAGTTAAACCAGCAAACCAAACACGATGATTATGAGCAAAATCTGTCAAATAGTGATCATGATATTCCAGCAGAACAAAGCTTAAAATCTAAAGGACTGCGAAATTATTCGGAATGTCCCCAAAACACTTCTAGGTGGGGTAATGGATAGAATTGCTTCGCTGTATAGGTTTGAACAGGTCCGGTGAGAAGACGCATCCTTGCCTGACGCCTCTTTCTATTTTTGTGTGTTCACTGAATTCGTTCCCTATGCGCATGCATGCTGTTTGCTGCCAGTATAGGTTCTTGATTATTCTGATAACTTTCCCGAATATATGAAGGTTGCTGAGCAGTTCCAGCAGATCCTTGTGGCGTAATTTGTCGAAGGCCTTTGCATAGTCTATGATACACGTTCTTCTGCAGCTGAATCTCTCTCTCTCTCTCTCTATCTATCTATCTATCTATCTATCTATCTATCTCTCTCTCTCTCTCTCTCTATCTATCTATCTCTCATAACATTCTGAGCATGAATATCGCGTCACTTGTTTCGGTGTCTTTAACGTACCCGCACTGTTCTTGTCCTATCTCTGGCCTAATTCTGCTACGCGCTCTATTAATCAGAACACGGATGATGAGTTTTGTAACGTGACTCATTAGGCTTATTGTTCGGTGGAATTCGCATTCGTTTGCGCCCGGTTTCTTAGGCATTCCTATGAAGATAGATCTGCTGGGGTCTTACGGTATATCCCCGCTGTTGTAGATGTTATTTATTATTTCGGTGATCTTGTCTATGCCAAAGTCATCTAAGGCTGTCAGCATTTCCATTACAGTTCCGTCTGGCCCAGCTGCCTTGTTCAATTTGGCTGTTGCTACTTTTACTTTGGTTTTCAGAATTCCAGCCCTGTCGATTGTTGGTTGTTCTCTTTCGTCGTGGAAGAGTTCTTCAATGTACTCGCACCAGCGTTGAAGAATTTGATCTCTATCTATAAAAGGCAGGATGTCTGTATGTGTGTAACGAATGCACGGCCGCAATTTTCGACGGATTTGCACCAAAGTTTACATGCACATGCTCCAAGTTAGTGAGAAGGCCAAGACCGATTTTGCATTTCCCAACTCCCATCGATAGTGGAAATAATCGATTTTTTCATGCTTCTACGGCAGTTTCCATGTAGTTTGCGGCCATTTTCTACTGGCCAGAATGAGACCCTATTCTGGCTGCCACGAATAGGCAGGAAGATTCTAATGGCCAGCGTGAGAGCCAACAGCTGACTGACACGAATGTTAACTAGCATGCTAGCATGCAAAAAAAAATCGATAGCTGCATTCGTCACAAGTGGGAAAAATTTAAATCTGCATGGCACTTTATTCCAATTGGCTCATAATGCTTGCTTAAACTCAACGTTGATTCTGATTCCGCAGAACTGGGTTGGGTGTGAAAAAGTATTTGTTGTTAACATTCTTTTTTCATTCGGTTTTTCCAGTTACGAGTCCTTTTTTAAAGCTAATCGTTTTGTGTTCATTTTGTTTAGTTCTTTTTTCATAACAGATTTAATGTTTAGTATAGAGCTTAGAAAAAAATCGAAGTGTGAGATAGGCAAGAAGTAAGGCATGTAGCAACATCAGCACGGCAAAGGGCACTCCTTTAAAGGCAAGGATAGCGATTGCTGTATGAGTCGTACGATTTTTGAATCAAGCACGGGCAACGCCGGGTCATGCTGCTAGTCCTTCTCTAATATGAAAGTTCCATCCTTTGATTTTAAGAAGCCTGTTGACGAGCATGTCTTCTGTCCTGTTAGTTGCTTTATTTGTTTGTGCATATCTCTTTTGCTGGTAGTACTCAGTCTTTCTATTTCTGCACATTTTTCGTTTAGTCACTCTTCTTTCGCTTGCCTGCATTTGGTCCTTATTAACGAGGCCTATGCTAAGTTAAAACTTAAAACCTAATTACAAAAAGAAACAAATTTTCCCTCACCTTTTTGGTAAGTATTCCAGACGAAATGTCGGTGACTAAACCGACTACCCCACTCCAAGTTCCCAGTGAGGTAGCTCGTTAGCAAGCCAGTAGGACGAAAAACAAGACCTATCAAAGGGCGCAGGAATTCGTTGAGTCAACGTCCAGCTAACTAGAGGTGGTGTCTCCATAAACCACCGTGGAGAAGACAACGGGAAACCACGCCACTATCAATCCAAAGACAAATCATGTTTAACAACTCCGATAACGCGAAACCTAACGATGTGAAGGGGTTAACTCCTCACCCGGTAAGGACCGACATGCGCAACAGGTGTCACCTGACCGTCATCCAGCGACTGCTAGCGTAAACGGCGTAAAAAGGATAAAATTCCTCGGAACCTATCCCTTGCCCAGTAAGGACCGACATGCGGAGCAGGTGTCACCTGACCGTCAACATTCTGGGTATATGTGAATCCAGATGGCCAAGCAACAGTGATTTTGTCAGCGACAAACACAGGATCTTTATGCAGGCGGTGAGAAGAACGACAAAATCCTATAGTACGGTTCTTTTATTTGATAATTCTTATGGTTTTACTTAAAATTGGTAATTTGTGTTTGTCTTGTATTTACAAAATCATGTTCATTAAATGCTGCGACCTGTAGAACTTGCTTCTTTACGGATTTCGAATTTAAGGCACACACTCTCCTACCCGTTATTTCTTTAAATCAAGGTTTTCCTGTATTCCGTTGTTTGTTCCTTGAAATACAAACTTTGTGAAGATGTGATCTGGCCCAGACATTTTTTATCATAACCTCGTATTTAACCGCACATCTGGGCTCCAACAAGCACCCGAACTTAGCTGAAAGAAACAGATACTACACTCATATCGAAACCTAAAACTCCCATCATGCTACGTTAAATGCCCAACTCACAAACGTAAATTAACTAGTGTAGTTTGAAAGTACAACATTAGCTTGCTAAACACTACTCTGTGGCGAGCTATTGTGAAATATGAATGAATATAATTGTAAATTTCAGTTGAGTGATTTTTATGTATGGGTAACAAAAAGGTTAAACTTACATCTGTATAATGAGTACGAACTGGAAAGTTCCCGGTCATATAATCGGTAAACTTAGGATTTATTCATTGAAATACAAATTTTGGGAGCGATGTCAGGTCGAGATCTTGTCAGCGCCATTTTCGTATTTTCTATTAACTGTCACGTTTAAATTAACCTTGATTTTAGAATTCCATGCGTGGTTCTCTGAATCCTCAAAAAAGTGCTGACTTGATTAAATAAAACCTCGTCAGACTATAAGATAAAGGATTCTTTCTATTTATTTGTCACGGTAATTGGTTGTTCGTTAAGATACCTGACAGCGGAACTTTATTTCACGAACATCTTACGCAGTAAATACGATTATTCGTGGTAGAGTTTAACTATGTGAAAAGGTCGAATTGATTACTAGTTGGCAACAAGGCACCTTCATGCAGAAGAATTGTTAACAGGTTAGCCTGATTGAACATTACTACAAAGTCGTGAGTTCAATCCTCAAGAAGTGGCCCGTGTGCCACGCTAAGCTTAGTCTATAAATACGAAATGACGGCATTATATGAGAGCGTGTCTTTTTTTTAAACTATGTTGACGTATGAAAGACCTGACATCGATAATTAGCTTTATAAGTGAAGGTTTTGTTGCTTAAAAAGAACAGATTATCGTATTTTTTTAAGCATTTCACCCCAAGCAAGACGGGAAGCCACTAGGACGCAAGGGGTTACAGAAAATTTAGAGCAAGATCAGATAGGAGTGATAGAAGAAAGGATGAGGGTAGTAGACAGATCAAGGCAACTGGAGATGTTGATTGACATTACACTTGAATAGCTGGAGATTATAGCTCATAGGGAAACAGGAATAGGGAAGGGAGTTCCACAGGCGAGAGGTGCGAGACATGAAGCTATTGGAGTAGAAGAGACGGCTATATTTAGTAGTTTCGACAGTGAAGGGGTGAGAGTGGGATGCCAGCCTCGTAGGGCGCTTGAACTCATGACGTCTGGGAACCAGCGAATGCAGCTCATCGGAGCAATTTCCATGAAAGTATTTGTAGAACAGACAGAGGGAGGCGACGGCGCGTCTGTGAGAAAGTGACTGTAGACGAGACGCCAGAGCAGGGCCAACTACATTGCATATCCGCCTCTGGAGCCTATCAAGAACCCCTGAGGCAAACAGAAGGGCACCAGACCATATATGGCAGCAATACTCCTGCAAGGGCGAATTGTGGATTTGTAGATCTGGAGGATCGACTCCGGGAGGAAAACTTCCTGGCGCGGCTCAGGAACCAACTTTCCTTTGCAGTGGACGAGGCAATTGACTCGATGTATTTATTCCATCTCAGGTCAGCAGTCAACGTGAGACCGAGAAGCCGCAGAGAGTTGCTCTCGAGAAGTTGAGCGTCAGACATTCTAATGAAGGGAAGGGAAGAATCTGTGGTGATTAATAGAGAGCAGTTTTGTCTTCGAAGCGTTGAAGTTGACCAGCCAATTCATGCCCCAGTTCACAATCGATTGAAGGTCCTTTTCGAGACGCACGGCCAGGTGAGTTTTGTCAGCGAGACTAGATTTGTTTTTGAGGCAGGAATTAATTGTGATGTCATCCGCGTAGCTGCCAACTTGGGAAGTTATGGCGTCAGGAAGGTCATTTATGTAGATAAGGAATAGAGTGGGGCCTAGGATGGAGCCTTGAGGAACACCTGCGTTCGTGGGATAGGAACTGGAGGAGAATCCGTTGAGAACGACCTTCAATTCACGGTTTGACAGGAATGATTGTATTAGCTTATGTAATCGACCCGTAATGCCATAACCCTGGAGCTTGCGAAGAAGGCCGGCATGCTAAACCCTATCAAATGCTTTGGAGATTTATTTTCAAATGAACATATTTACAGTGGAGTTAACGACTCAGATTAAGTATTCAAAGAGTTTGAATTACAGTTGAGTTTGAATTCCAGTCGAGTTCATTACATTTACTTACGTGCTAATAGCTTTGGTAAAGGTATGAATCCATCTCTTCTCTTTCAACTATGGGTAAAATAGCAGGACAGACTGGGTCCTATCGCCTTGGGTCGAAAATAGTTACCGTAATTCCCCATGTATAATACGCCTTCATCCATAATACGCACACCTGTGCTGAAAATGTTAGTTTTATTCATTCATAATACGCACCCCTTGTTTGTTAATCAAACCCTATAAATTGTACTTCTCCAATTTCATTACGGTCAACGTTTCCTACTCTTATTTAAAAAAATGGTTTTAAACATAGAATAATATTATTCTAATTTAGTTTTATGATAATTCTTATTTTATTTTACGGAAATTTTTTAAAGATTTTTTTGTAGTTGTGTATAATACGCACCCTTGATTTTGCTTATTATTTTTAGAAAAAAATGCGTATTATACACGAAGAAATACGGTAAGAGCCACACGAGACAGGAAATTTTAGAGAGCTATGATCGCCTACACCCGGAATGGACGCTGCACATAGAAGAAGAAGAAATCATATAAAGCAAGTTCTAATAATAGATTATAGATTATGTAAGAATTCAAATATCCAGTCATCGAGCAATGCGTTTATGAACTTAATGCTATTTAATAGAATAACACTTAATTAGTCTCCTATAGTAGTTTCTACTTGTAATTCTAACAACAAAAGCGATAGCGTTAGGTAAGTATTCAAATGCTCAACTCCACGCCTGCTTTGTCTCACACTGTCCGCTGACCTAAGATGGAGAAAATACATTGAATCAATAGCTTCATCTATTGCAAGCAAAGTTGGTTCACTGTGTCGCGCCAGAAAGTTTTTCTCGCCTGGGTCCATTCAAATCTATAAATCAACCATTCGCCGTTGCATAGAATACTGCTACCATCTGTTCGTCTCGAGGTCCTCAACAAAATCCAGAGACGGATATGCAATGTGATTAGTCCTGATCTGGCATCTCGTCTCCAGTCACGTATTGTCGCTTCCCTCTGTCTTTTCTACAAGTATTTTCATGGCAACTGCTCCGACGAGCTATTTTTGCTGGTTCTCAGACTGCCTAAATTTAAACGTGCTACTAGGTTGAAATCTCAGTCCCACCATTTCATTGTCGAAACGGTTAAATATAACCGTCTCTTCTACTCCAATAGCTTCATGACTCGCACTTCCCGTCTTTGGAACTCCCTTCCTCTTACTTGTTTCCCTGATAGTTATAATCTTCAAATATTCAAATGTAATGTCAATCGACATCATCTGATCTTGATCTACTTCCTCGTCCTTCTCTTCATCCTTTCCTCAATCACATCTCTTTACTCTTGCTCCCACCCTCTGTAACCCATTGCATGCTAGTGACACTCGCGCCTTGTTTGGGGTGAAAAGCTTAAAAAAATAAAAAAATACTGAAATTAACTCCTGAATGTGCTTAATTATTTTCATGGATTATTTTTTTAATTACCCGAAAGACAGAATTAGCAAATGGAGTTTAAATTCCAGATATTTTCCTGAGAATTTTTTTAAAGAAAACATTTTATGAATTTTAACCGAAATCAATGCCAAATTTTTCCTAATAGGAAAACTTCTAATATTACCATTAACAGTACTTACGCACAAATACTTTTTAGACAGGCATGAATAGATCTCCCCCCATCACCATCTATCGGTTAAGTAGTAGATCACAGTGGGCTCTTTAGCCGTAGTTGGTATCCAGTCTAGGAGAAGGACAATTTTGAATTCATAACTGGCTGATTCCCGTAAGAAGCTACAACAGCAATGCCTAGCGTGCTGAGAGCTGTATCCCCACACAACTCGGGGTTAGGGTTATGGTTAGGGTGGATGTTTAGATAACTCCCTATTATCAGTTTGTCTTGTGTCTAAAGTTCAGCTCGGTTAACTTCTTTGGACACCCGCCAAAACCCTCCAAAGATTGATGATGATGCTGGTGCTTTGCATTCATGTTGATATTTTGAGGTGGCACATAATACAACACATACTTTGACATCTCTACCTAACCCTAACCTTAACCCTAACTCAGGGCGTCTACGGGACTGGAGTAAGCGTGTTGAATGATGTAGGTATTGACTATTTGCAATCTAATTTACAAGACATCAAGATGTCTAACAAGAGAAAAATGTTCAGCTTATAAATAACATGAAGGATATCTTTGTTTTGTTTAATTGTGAAGGCATTACGCTGATTCGTCGGTAAGAGCACGCTTGAAATCAAATCAAATCAAATCAATTCACTGTAGTTGCTATTTAATGTTACTGACAACCGATATGAAGAGAATACATTTTTCATGCGTAAGATTATTGGTTATTCCCATTTGAACTTCGTTATTTAAATGTTGGCAATCAAGGGTATATGGTTACGAGTCTTTCTTCTAAAGTTCGATCTTCTTCCGAAGGATTTTGCACTCTGTTCCCGAGGTGGGTGTTTAGATAACTCCCTATTATCAGATTGTTTTGTGTCTGCATATCTAAAGTTCGGTTAACTTTTTTGGACACCCGCCAACACCCGCCAACACCCTCCAAGCTTTGATGATGATGCTGGTGCTTTGAGGTAGACTTCAAGGTTCATGTTGATATTTTGAGGTGGCACATAATACAAAAACTTACTTTGACATCTCTTAGGACGAACTATCAACACTTCTTAGACACATTTGCTGATTGTCATCCGATTCAAACCCCTGGCATTTCCTGGCGTGAATCACATACAAAAAAAAAAATAATCCTTTTGACTCTTTAGAGACAGACGAAGAAAATCATGATCTCTCTCTCTCTTTGTCTCTCTCTCTCTCTTTTTTCCCGTTCTCTCTCTCTCTCTCTCTCTCTCTCTCTCTCTCTCTCTCTCTCTCTCTCTCTCTTTTCTTACTACGCGAATTTTCGCAGGATATGAATTGGTTGCTTTTATATGTTCTATTTGTGTCACAGCTGGTCACCTCCTGCACTTCATTGTGATAAAAGTGAAGTCTGGTTCATTCAAAGCGAAGCAAACACAACAAGAGAGGAACAATACATAAATCCAGTTATCTATATTGGGATTTGTGTCTGGTCCCTCTCTTTATCTATCTTAATGGTGATCATGATGAATGGAATTCTCTTTCCTGCCAGAATAATAGGTTGCGTCGTGTGCATTGCAGATGTAAGTTTTCAGGAAAGTAAGAAGAAACGAAAAATGTCAGCAATATTTACGCTATTCATGCAATAAAAGACAATTCCGATAAGATTCCCTCGTATTGACAAAATAGAGAACAAATCTACAAGCGTCGTTTATCGACACTTTTATAAGCTCCTAAATTATTGATTTTCGTTTAAGAAAAGCAGTACTCTCTGTGCTATATACTGTCCGAGGCTCTATATTCTATTGCATATACTGTCCCATACTCTATATACTCTTTCCCATATAATGTCTCTTACTCTATACTCTTTCCCATATACCGTCTCTTACTCTATACTCTGTTTAATATGCTGTACGATACTCTATAGTCTGCCCTATATAATTTCTCATAGTCTATATTCGATATACTGTCTCATATTCTATATACTCCTCCCCATATATTGTCCCATACTCTACACTCTGCCCCATATATGGTCCCATACTCTATATTGTTCCACATACTGTCTCATACTCTATATACTCTGTTCCATATAATGTCTCTTACTCTATACTCTGTTTCATTTGCTGTGCCATACTCTATAATCTGCCCTATATAATTTCCCATAGTCTATATTCGATACACTGTCTCATACTCTATATACTCCGCCCACATAATGTCTCATACTCTATAATCTGTCCCATACACTATGCTGTTCCATATAACAGTCTTATATTCTATATTCAGTCACATATAATGTACCATACACTATAGTCTGTCCTATAGCAATATACTATGTTCAATAATAGTTGCTACATTTATAAACTTTTCTTTTAATTATTAACAACACTTACCGTACATCATATATATATATATATATATATATATATATATATATATATATATATAAGCTCAAACACTAATATTCCATGGTTATAATTTATTACATTGGAATCATAATCACGATCCAATTCATCAGACCTATGTCTTTGCATCGAATTTCTTACATCTACACATGAAAATAGTAATTATGTATACAAATATTTTGTATTATATGTAGTCGTAGTTCTTGCATCTTAATGTTACTTTCCCTTTGCATTTGGAACAATGGAAATAGTTTGAATTTTCTTTCCCACCCACTTTTTTTATTTTAATTTAATTTTTGCTTTGCACCATCGAAAGGGGGGTTCTTTTTCTCTTTCCCTACGAGTGAAAGAAGACCGTAGAATGGATCAGCTGAAACGTTGTGAAAAAAATAACTTTTTCTAAAAAAGTGAATTCCCAAAATTGCCTCTTTATCTATCCCCCAAAAAATGATGATTGCTCATTCACAGGAACAGAGTTTTCGTAAGTAGATATTTGGTAAATAAAGGGGCTTCCCACCCAGACACAGCCTCCATGGTACAGGAGCAATGCGGGTGCCAGAATGCGATATTTATGCTCAGAATGATATCAGAAAAAGCAATACAATTGCAAAAGGATGTATATTTATATTTTTATAGATTATGCAAAGGCGTTTGATAAATTACATCGCAAAGAAATGTTGAAAATGCTAAGAAGGCTTGATATATTTGGGAAGGATATTAGAAGAACCCAGAACTTATACTGGAAGCAAACCGCCTGTATACGGATAGAAAAATTACTTTAGTAAATATACTAAAATATAAAAGGATGTAAGACAAAGATATGTCTTCTCGCCGGACATATTCAACCTATACAAATGATTCCCAACTTGGGGCGCATTCCCCACCTGTGGGGCATGGTAATATTTTGGTGGAGCATGCGTAGGAGGTGCACCCTTCGGCTTAATATACCAACGTGAGCTCAAATTTCATTTGGGATTATTATTTCATGATTAAAATGATCAAAGAGTATTACAAAATAAGATTTCATTCAAATATTTCATATTTGTCTTTCAGTTCTCTATTATATGTTTTGAAACTATATATATATTTAACTGTCTTTTTGTTTTTTGTTGTAGTTTTTTTTAATTTTTCTCTTTCATGGACGCCATGGTCTTTGGAGGCTTGTTTAGAGGCCAAGTTAATGGGCTTTTAAGCTTTCTTCACGTGAATTGCAGTAAAATTTTGAATATGTAAGAATGAAATATTACAGGCAGTTGAGGGCACCAGAGGTTTACAAATACCAAAGTGTGGAATGGTCCAAAATCGTTTGGGAACCACTGACCTATACAGTAAGGTTATTCTGAGAGAATTAGAATTATTATCAGGATTCACTATTGGCGGACACAATCTTAACATTAGATATGCAGATGGAACCGTGTCAATATCAGACACAGGAAGAAAAATTGCAAGAACTCCAATCAAGCAAGCAGAAAAATGTAAATATCTGGAAAATGTTTTAAAAGAGGACAGAAAATGCGACACCAAATATCACTATTGAATCTTTTAATATGTGATTCCATTTTGAAAATGCATTATAATCATAGTAAACAGGGATTTGTGTTTACTCAGAGAATATGGTTTCCTCTAACCAAAACCACTTTCTTGCTTAGTTCTTGTCTCGTTGAAAAAGGACACAGGAGTGTCCGAAAGTTTCAACTTTAAAATTTTTCACTTCGTGCATTTAATTTAATTTAGTCAAATGGCCAACTAATATATAATATATATCATATATATATATATATATATATATAATAATTGTCATCAATCTTATTGCCAATATTATCATTTTATTGTATTTTTATTTCTCAAATTTCATTAATAGGCCTAATATATATATATATATATATATATATATATAATGGGAACGTGGCCGAGTGCTTTCTGACCATGAGACCCGGGTTCGAATCTCACCGTGGTCGATTTGTCAGGGAGGCGACTTCCTGAGTTTATCGATCTGGATTGGGCGGCACCTTTGATCCAAGCCTTGTGAGTGAAACTGGGTAGACGGTACCCTTGGAAACCGACGATAGCTGTGCTAGCACGAAGTCACAGGGTTTTGAGCGTGCTGGCCTTGTTCAAATTGCTGATCACGCTAGATAACATGCTTCTCACCCAGAAACTGTAACTAAGGTCTTTTCAGTATAGTTGTAGTATAAACCACAGGTGGGTCCTGTGGGAGTTGAAACTGCACAAATATGATGCAACAATATTACAATGCATTTAAACACATAGTTCTCTTGATAACATTTCTTTCTCTCACGTGGTCATTTACGACGTTGTATAACTGCATTACGAATTTATGACCTGCTTCTGCTATTCCGCAACTGTCATCGTTGCATAACAAACTTCCATGTAAGCATAACAGGATGTCATCTTTAATGATGAAAATCTCTGTTGTAATGTCCATATAACCATTCTGATGATGGCTCATGTGAGCCGAAAGCTTAGATCGAGAAAGAGCATAATAAAAAATTATCCAGATGTTGGACAGTTTTTGTATTTATTTTCTCCTGAAACTATACGAAGCTTAGAACGGCTCATGATCAAACATAATAGATATTTGTTGTCTGTTATATTTAACAATATATGCTTGAATACATGCATACATACATATATATATATATATATATATATATATATATATATATATATATATATATATATATATATATATATATATATATATAATTGAAAGAAAATAAATAAATATATATATATATATATATAGTTTGTAACATATGTATGCAAAAATGGTGACGATATATATTCTCATTTCTGTGTAGCAGAGTCATTACAATGTCAATGTATGGCATGAGAAGAAGAGGATTCATACCTTTCCAAAGAGTATTAGCACGTAAGTGAATGTAATGTATTCGACTGTAATTCGAACTCGGCTCACCGATTCGTCAATTAGAGCAGCTATCCATTACTCCGGCCTTTTATTTTATATATATATATATATATATATATATATATATATATATATATATATATATATATATATATATAGAGAGAGAGAGAGAGAGAGAGAGAGAGAGAGAGATGGCTGCCTATATATAGTGACGATATATTCCCATTTCTACGTAGCAGAATCCTTACAACGTTAATGAAATATAATTTTTTATATATATGATTTTTATATATATATATATATATATATATATATATATATATATATATATATATATATATATATAGTGACGATATATATATATATATATATATATAGTGACGATATAATTTTCATTTCTGCGTAGCAGAATCCTTACTACGTTCATGAAATATATATTTTTTTTTTATTTTAACAAATTTTTATAAATAAAACTCCATAATTTATTTATGGCTTCATATTTCTAACTTCCAATTTTTATTTTATTGTTTATAATCTTTCGTGCGGGACGTGTAATATTGTATCGTGAACTATTTGAGAAATAAACTGTTTATGTCATGTGTTTTTTTTTGTAAAAGATTTACTATCAAACAAAAAAAGATAACAGGCGTTAAGTATAGAGTTAAAAAAATCGAATGAGATTTTGATATAGGTAATAAACAAAGTCTGAAGTTTAGTTACCGTTAAAGAGCACCTGGCGTGAAACACACTCTCTATCAAAGACTGACGATATTTGCGAGAAATTACTCCTCCTAACGTCCTTTTTCCCAGTAAGGTCGTCAGTCAGATACACTGTGGTGCGCTTGGTATGAATTAACATTGACTTTCTTTCGTTCCCTATAATTTCTTTCGTTCCCTATAATTTCTTTCGTTCCCTATAATTTCTATCTACCTGTTCAATCATCCAAGAACCTTTTAGGATTCCTTTCTTTTTTATCCAAAATTTCTTTTTTGATAGAGAAAGTAAGCAACAAGAAAATATTGCAAAATACTTTGTAATATTTTCTCATTGCTTTCTTTCTCTATTTCTTTCTAGTTTTCCTCCTTTATTTAGTTCTTATTTTTTTAGTTGTCTTTCCTTCTTTCTTTCTTACTTTCTAAATTTCATTCCTTTTCTCTTTTTTCTTTTTTTTTCAAATTTTCATTCGTTTTTTCTTTCTTCTTTTCTTTTTATTTCGCTTTCTTTCTTTCTTTCTTCCTTTCTCTCTTCATTATGCTTCTTCTTTTGTCCTTGTTTTTATCCATCGTTCTTCTTTTTATTCGTCCTTGCTCTCATTCTTTCTTCATTTTTTTTTTTTATTTCACTTTTCGTTCTTGCTTTTTCCCCCGCTTTTCTAACGGCTTTTTTCTTTCCTTGTTTTCTTGTTTTTATTTCTTTATTTCTTTTCATTCCTTCATTCCCCCCCTTTTTTTGCATTAATTTCTTCTTTCACATTTGTTTTCATTTATCATTCATTTCAACTTCTCTTCTTTTATTTCATTATTTCTTACTTTTTCGTTTTCCATTGAACTTTCTTATATTTTTTTTCTTATTTCATTCTTTGTTTCATGTGATATTTATTTATATTTCCGTTTTCTTTCTTTTTTCTTTCATTTTACTGTTTATCTTTCATATATTTCTCTACATATTTTCTTCTTGCGATATTTTTTTATCATTATTATTATTCTATTTATCTTTCTTTCTTTCATTCATTCGAATTTCTTCTTACTATTTTTATTATTTATTAATTTTAACCTCACCATATGATTTTCTTTCTTCTTTTCGTACGTATTATTAATGATTTTCTCCTTTACTTCCTTCGTTTTATTTTTCACTCATTCATTCATACTGTTATCTTCCCTGTTTTTGTGTCTGTTTTTTTATTATTATTTCTTATTTCGTTCCTTTTGCTCGCTCCTTCATTAACCAACTTATTTGTTACTATCCATTCGTCTTTTTATTACATTTTCAGCGATATCACTTTTGTTTCTTTCTTATATATATAATTTATTCTTCTTCAATTTTTCCTTCCAACCTTATCATCTTTAATTTCGTTTTTTTTTTCTGGCTAATCTTCCTATATTAACCTTTTCTCATAACTATTCGTTTTATAAAATGCGGAATACAGATATTTAGAGAGCCAACGTAAGAGCAAACCTTTTATCGAATAAAGATTTACTCTTTCCAAACTTTGTTTTGTTTTGTTTTTTTTTCTATCCTCGAGGCATCTGTTTAGGTCTTTTATTTTTATTTCTTTTTCTTTTTAAATGCCGGTGATATTGATTCCATTGTCTTGTTGTTAATGGAGGGATTTCTGTTAGAAAGAAAAAGAATTTTAAAATGATTGATTTTATTTTTACATTTAAAACCCGGCAAATTGTTACATTAAAATAACGACTTGTCGTCATGACACCGCTTCGCCCGCTTTCTTATTTGGCGATTGGAAGTGGTTGTGTGTATTAAACTGTACTGACGCATCTTGCAATTATTGGAGAACACTTGCAATAAAAACAAATAGTGTTAATGGCTTTCAGTGCGACCTCGCTCAGAAGAGACAGATTTTCGTGTTCAAGAGCCAATGTCAAGAAAAGACAAGAGAGGATGACATTGAAAATAGACCTTCTGTATAATTATTGTTTTGAATAACATTGTATCAACTTTATGTTGAATCAAGCAAGATATATTATCAATGGAGCTGCACGGTTGACCTAACGAAAATGGAATCGACATACGGCATTCAAATTCAAAGTAGTTTATGTTTATTTTTACAGTAAGGTTCACCTTGTACAAGACCTCAGGGCCACTTGAGGTAGATGGTTGCTTTAAGGGGTAGCTTAACTCTAAACCTGAACAGGTTAAAGATATTGTGATCGACAGTGGTTCACGGGAAGAATGAGCCAGTTTTCCTCTCTAATATTCCCTCTTTTTAAAACTTATTCGCCGTTCTCTTATTGGATCTTGAATGGACTTTGAAGATGGAAGCCATTACTGAAGGCCCGAATGATCTTTTTCCTCTCACCATTGCTCATTTGGGAAGAGAGTAGGGCTGACACAAAACGATTTTAACCTGTTCTTTTTCGAGCTGAATAACTTTTTTGTGGTTCTTACGTCAAATGGTGTCAAGATGGCTAAACGTCTTATCTGAAAACAAGGAAAAAAAGATACTCAGTTAGTTTAGTGGTTTTTTAGATATTAAACAATTTTGCTGTTACATGATTTGGACAATTTTGCTGTTACGCCCGGTATATATACAGTGAGGGAAATAAATATTCGTACACATACAAATTTTTAATTTATTGTATTTCCAACTAATGAATAAACATACTTTTCATATAATTAACTTCACAGAGATGCATAATAAGTAAATATTCATAGAAAACAGTAAAAATGATTCAATAGAAATAAATCCCATTTATTCATTTTAATGGGTGAAAAAAGTATTCGTACAATTCAAATTCCAGATTTTAAAACTTTTAAATTGCTTTAATTCTCTAAACTGTTCAAGTGTAATATTCTAGACTGTTCCAATAATGTTATCAGTAGCTATATTTAGCCTAGAAAATACAAACAGAAAATTCTGTAATTGATATTCGTGCAAGAAGGTTACCATCATGACAAGAGATTGTTCTAGTTCCACGTGTCATGCTTCTTCCGGATATCTCACTTAATTTCCTTTAACTCAACTCTCCAAGTTTGGTTCACTACTGTGATGGCCTGGTATTGAACTCACAACTCTTTGGGTCTAGTCACTGGATCTAACCAGCGTCTTTATCCACTGGGCCAAGTGTACTTGAGGAAATAACTGAGACATCCGGAAGAGGTATGACACGTGGTACTAGAAAAATCTACCTCGGTAAACGAAATAGAGGGTTCAGTTCGAAATTCCAGTCACCTGGAGAAGGCCTGAGCGTACAACAGCCGAAACGTTGTGAATATGGCAATGAAGATGAGGATAACATTCCGAATAATGTAAGTAATGTAAGTAACCATAATACCTCATCTCAGAGGTATAGACAGATATTAAATGAAGTTTGTTGAAATGATGCAACAACCTGAAGTGCCTTATAGCTATCAGGGAAACAAGTAAGAGGAAGGGAGTTTTAATGTCGGGAAGTGTGAGAAGTTTGACGGATGGACTCAGGCGTGAAAAAACGTCTAATGCGACACAGAGAACCAACTGTCCTTGCGGTGGATGAAGCTATTGATTCAATGTAGTTGCTTCACCTCAGGTCAGTGAAAAACGTGAGACTAAGCAGAATCAAGTAAGAAGGTTTCTCTATGGTGGGTAAATGAGAAAATTTTCGTTTTGGAGACATTAAAATTTAAAAGCCATTTCCTGTGGTTTCGTTAGAGACATGACAATAAAAATGAATAGAAATTATATTTAAGACGCTGATAACAGCGAGAGATTAAGCAGTTTCTCGGATCTTCTTATCCGGCAGTTTGTGTATATTCAGGTCGTAAGTCAAGACACGAAGTCTTTAAACCAATCAGCAGTTTTTGATTGATAAATCCGTTTAATATCTAAAGCTATCACACTCGTGCATATATATGATAGTTTTAAATATTAAATAAATATATAAGAATAAGGATAATTTTGGAAGAGAAATGAAAATATATGAAATAATCAAGAAAATATGACAAATTACAATAAAATATCCAGAGTAATTTCATTAATTTGCAGCGGCAGACGAAATATCTCGCGAAACATTTCTTGGCCCTGTTCCTTTGTTTTTAAGTGATTTAACGAAATTCCTGATGGTGATTAAATAAAAGCTTTGATTATCCTAAGGCAACCGAGAATAATTATTACGTCACGTCCGGTAAAGAAAGACGAAAGGAATAAGGAGGTTTCGAGATTGTGGAATGAGTGGAAGAAAGACTGAACGGGAGGGAGAAATAACGAGAGAGAGAGAGAGAGAGAAAAGAAATCAAAGGAGAGAATGAAGCAACAAACGAACGAACAAAAGAAAGAAAGAAAGAAAGAAAGAAAGAAAGAAATAAAGAAACAAAGAAAGAAAGAAAGAACGTACGTATTATAAAAAGAACAAAAAAAAACAAAGTAATGAAACCAATCTAAAGATTCAATTATTTTATATATTATTGTTTACCCTATTTACAGTGTTCGAACTATTGTCCTCATCTTTATTGCCATATTGACGACATTTCGGCCGTTGTACACCCTGGACTTCTTCAGGTGTTATACGTTGGAATTCCAAACCCAACCCTTTAGAAGAAAGCCGAAACGTCGTGAATATAAAGATGAGGACAATAATCCGAACAATGTAAGTTGTGTAAATAGTTACAATACCTCATCTCAGAAATATAGACAGTTATATATTATTATTTATTTATTTATTTATGTTCGCCCAGTACAAGGCTTAAGAGCCCATCAAAGTAGAAGGTTACTGAATCAGATATGTGCTAATGTAACAGACAAAAGTAGAGAGTGAATGTTATGAGGATATGGAGGATAGATAACACTATATTATTTGTACAATATAGTGTAAACTGCTCCATTGCATTCAAAATATCTATGTACCGTTTGAAATATTATTTATTAAGCTTATTTTAGTTTGGCACAAGCCTATACGTATGAAACACCCAATGATATAGACTGATCTGCCCAAATGTTGGCTATATTTTTTATTCAAGTCTGGGGCACCAATGGAAATCGACCTGACTATTCAATAATCATCCTCAATCAGACTAGTTTGCTCACAAGACGCTGGCGTATTCTATAGATTAAACTGAAAGGGTTTTTTTTTATTGATACCATTCATTTTATCATATATAGTAAGCAATGTAGCATTACCAATCAATGTAATGGTTGACATGTTCAAAAGATACGTCATGACTAAATAGTCTAGTATTAGCATTTAAAGAGTATTTTACGCAATGCATTAGTGTGAATAGTCTTTCTTCTCGGCCTTTCGAGCGCCTAGCGTTTCGAATAAGGAATTTTTTTTTCCATTATTCTACCAACCATCTGTCTTCACTGATAGACGCTGGCAATTTTAATTTCAAGAACATTTTTTTTAGTTTGTCACCGTAACAAGGCTGGCTACAATTTTTATATAAAAATGCTAATCAAATTCAAAGAGAAAACAATTTACTAAGATGATTTTTAATCACTAGATTGTCAACGTCAAATTTATGTCCAGGTTGTTACAACGTTTCACTATTCTTTGTAGATCTTCTATTATCACATTCTGGGATATTTTATAACAAACGGAATGGAAACAAAAAGAAAAAATCTAAATGGAATCGGCTAGATTATACCTCCAAGACACAGCAAAAACTTAATTTAAAATTACTAGCGTCTCTCGTTCGTGCGCATGTGTAGTTTCACCAACATAAACAAAATCCAGTCCTAAAACGTCCGAAAAGACAAAACGCGTCGCACGAAAGCATTTCCACTTTATCATACATATTTCCCCAAAAATCTTCTTGATATATAAAAATTTATATATCGTTATCCCATATATATATATATATATATATATAATAAAAAGGCTTAAACACTAATATTCCATGGTCATAATTTATATTTTCCACATATATTATGAATAGTATATTTCCACTAATATTATCTTTATATATATATATATATATATATATATATATATAATTTTAAAAAAAATATGATTCCTTCGCTACATAAGAGTTCTCATGTTTCAAAAACAAGCGTCGAAAACCTCAATATAATTATTAAAATTCAATTGAATTAAAGTATCAAGCCTTGTTTCATCCTCAAGCGAAAATTTAGGAACCCTTATGTAGCGAAGGAATCATATT